TTGTTGTCGACGATGATCAAACAATAGTCATCGTTGACTGGGGCAACCACCGTATCGTTAAATGGAAAATCGGTGATACAAACGGTCAAGTAATAGCAGGTGGTCATGATCAAGGAAGTCAACTGAACCAATTGAATTGTCCAACTGATGTGTTGATTGATAAAGAGACTAATAGTCTGATTATCTGTGACCGCGGAAATCGACGAGTTCTACGATGGTCTCGTCGTGATGATACTACTGAGGGAGAAATTCTTCTCGACAATATCGCATGTTGGGGATTGGCCATGGATAATCAGAGGTATCTCTACATCTCTGATGTCGAAAAACATGAAGTAAGAAGATATCAAATTGGAGAGAAGAAAGGAACTATCGTAGCTGGCGGGCAGGGTCGAGGTGTTGGGTTCAATCAACTCAATGAGCCAACCTACATCTTTATCGATCAACAGCAAAGTGTTTATGTGTCAGACACATGGAACCATCGTGTGATGAAATGGGCTAAAGATGCAACAGAAGGAACTGTTGTCTTTCGAGGGTTTCCTCGAGGATTATTCGTCGATACGTCGGAGACCATCTACGTAGCAGACTATGGAAGTCATAGACTTATGCGTTGGCCGAAAGGAGCAACACAGGGCACTGCCATTGCGGGTGGAAATGGTGAAGGAGAAGAAGCAAGTGAGTTGTACTATCCGTGGGGTTTGTCATTCGATCAACATGGTCAACTCTTTGTTGCCGATCATTCCAACCATCGGGTGCAACGCTTTCCTCTTCAACCAATTGCTTAACAGTTTTCATTATATTTTAATGTTTCTATGAAAGAAATTTCCATGTAATGAAGAACGAATTTGATTCCTATTCTATGGCAGCACGAAGGTAATAAACACATAGAGCATACTCAAATATACATGGCATGTAAAAGCGAGAAGTATAGAATCTCCCCACATACGCCGACAGACTGTGGAGGAAATTTTTCATTTTTTTTTATTTATTGTGCCTCCCCGTAAGTATTCTACTAGTTGCTTATCGTCATCGTCTTTTCAAATAGAAACCGTTCACTTTTCTTGTCAGTTTCACTCTGTTCTTTATGTTGGAGATAAAGTGAAATGAAAAGAACAAAGCCTCATTTTAATAAAACTCTAGGAAATTCATACAGTTTCACATTTTTTTGCAATTCTATTGGTATATAAAGGGATGAAGAATGATTATGATACTTTCATCTTTTCTAGATTCTTATATTATTTATTTTAATTATTGTCAATCTATTGGCATGGCATCTAATTTTACAGCGTTAGTTGAAAATGTGATCACCTGTCCAATTTGTCTTAAACATTTTGATGAACCACGTATGCTGCCATGTAAGCATACTTTTTGTTTTCAATGTATTCAACATATGACTACTGAAAACAACGGCCTATTGGAGTTGGAGTGTCCAAAGCATGATGGTACTAAAGTTGAAGGAAATGATATCAATACACTGCCTCCTAACGAAATTATGCGTGATCTTGTACAACTGCTTGGTGAGTAGACCTATTCTTGAACTACCAGTTAAAATACTAAAAAAACATAAATCATCGTTGATGTCAGTAGCCTAAATTTCGATCCATATAAAACTCGTCTAATAGTGTTTCAAAATCTCATTGGTCGTTCATATATCTTCTCCTTTAGATCATCCTGATTTAACTACACCTATGTGTCATAGATGTGGCACTGATGTAGCTGAACATTGGTGTGATAGTGATTGTAAACATTGTTTTTGTTCCAAATGTTGGGATAGCATTCATGAAGTAGGTCAATATCGAAATCATACAAAATGTCCTGTTAGAGAAAGACCACCTGAGATACCCAGGTGTCAAGAACATGAACATGATGATGATAAGGTTAAATATTGGTGCGAAGGATGCTCGAAAGAGATTTGCAACAATTGTCAACAATTAAAGCACAAAGATCATTCGGTTATTTTAGTGACTGGCGATGTAAATCCTTTAGAAGAAAAGGTTAGTATAAAGCTAAGCTTTTTACGGAATTAGTTAAAAAGAAAACATTTACTAAGATATGCCGTTATTTTTTTAGTGCAAAACAGGATTACAGGGAGTTCAATTGTGTTTGAACTATCGATCAAACCGAGTGGACAAACTGTTAACAGAGATCGAAGAAGAAAAGGATTGTAATAAATCAAAAGTCAAGGAGGCAATGGCATCTTGTCGTCAACTCATTGATGAGCAAGAAAAAGTTTTGCTGGAAAATATTGAAAATGTTGAGAAAGATCAGAAGAAACCAATCGAAGACTATAAACGTCGACTTCAAGGAGAACAGCAAGGTTTGATTGAACAAGTATTAAATTTTATGATAGATTGTAAAGACAAACAACCGAGGAAACAATTGGAAGCTAAAGCTCGATTTGAAGAATATATAACAAGAACTGATGAAAAGTTATTAGAACTAAAACCAATAATTAGGACTGCAAATTATATATCAGGTCTTGAGAAATTAAGAGAAATGGAAGGACAGATTCGAAATATCAAGGTGGAGGAAGTTGTAAAATATGAAAACCAGCAACTTAGGCAACGTATAACTAATGCCCCGGACAAATCAACGCTTAATTTAGGTAATTTAAACTTAACCGATCTGGATATGGAAATTGTAGCTGCTGAATTAGAAATTAATAAGGTAAGAGATCATTGCTTTGTTTACCATTTAGGGTAGGTATGGGTGTGGATGTGGGTGAAGAAGAGACTCACCCACACCCACACCTACCCCTCAACTAAACTAAGTAGTCCCATTAATATCCCTTCATTGTGCTTTATCCTATAGAAAAATAAAGGCTAGAGTACTTTGGTAAGCAATAACTTTTGTAATTCTATTTACTTTTTTATATAGACACTGAAAACACTGCAATTGTATACTAATCAAATCAGTGATATTGGAGCACAACACTTGGCTGATGCATTAAGAATGAACAAAGTAAGATATTTATTCTGTTGATCTGTCAAACATTGATCTTCGTTTTATCATAAAAAACTTAATCAGAAAGTACACACAATTTTAATACAGTTCATTCGAATCAAATATCAATATAAGTTCGATTGTATATAGTCTTACAATATTTAAAAGTAACATTCTACAGTCATCAATAAGATATGAAGTGTTAACATCTAACTAATACGATAATTTCTGAGTAATGTAGTGATAACAATACAGTTGCAAGCAGATAACATGTAATATCTATCATGCAAGTTAGTACATGATTTATTTCAAGAATCAAGAAATAATAAACTAAAACATGATCTAATCTTAACGAAAACTTTTATAGAATTTCTAAACGTGATTAGATATTTGAGACTGAATTTAATTAAGAACTGATCATGTTTGAACTTCAAATTCATTGCCTCTTTCTTTATTCGATTGTATATATTTGAAGAAATTTTTAGAAGATCGAGTTATGCAATTTGACAGAACTTAAAGCTGAAATATTAGTAATCACTGCATTTTATTAATTGATGATGCTATGGACTCTTATTACTTTTGAAACTATACCTAATGCTAATGTTCTTTCTTTTCACCATCATCAACTAAAAAATGACATTAGATTGTATTAGTATATGTAACATCCGAAATCATTTTAACTTTCAATATAGACACTCACCGATCTACAATTGTATAAAAATCAAATTGGCACCAATGGATTGCAAGATTTTGCTGATGCATTAAGGACCAACAAAGTAAGTTATTTATCTATATAATTTTTTTAGCATTAATATTAATAAAAAAATGAGTTCATTTAATTAAATCAGATATAAAAGACAATGCTGAAGCCCTTTATATACTATATTTAGAGTTTCTATTCACTTTCTAATACCGAAATAGCGATATTATATGATACATACTGACGGATATTAGATGAAATTCACCTGGACCACTAAAAACTTCTTCTTCTTTATTTTTGTTATAGACACTTAGCACATTGGCCATGTATCAGAATAAAATTGAAGATGAAACAGCACAATATATCGCAGATGAACTAAAAAACAATCAAGTAAGTTATTGTTCTAATCGATTTCTTAAATATACAGATCGTTACTTTATGATACACATTCACATAAAACTAATAATAATTAACAGTTGAATCTGATCGTATGATAGAAATATCCTTGAAGATAACTTTTCCAAATTTTATTTTGTCAGTCGTCTTAATTAATGAGATTCAGCTTCTGCAACGAATTTTATCGGAAAATATAAATTGAGTTTTAATCGATAAAATTTTCTGAATATAAGTTGTGTTTTCTTTAACAGTTTACAATAACTTTCACCATTAATAAAAATATTGATGATCTTTAATACTAATATGAGTAATAGTAATATTATGAAAAATTTTAATCGTTAGAGAATAAACTAATAAACTTTACAGTAATGTAGTTTTTTAATCTTTTATCTGTCAAACCATGATGTTTCCGACAATGATGAATTAGAGAAATAAAAAGATGAATAGAAATATTGACAATGCAATTTTTTCTCCTTTCGTTAAATATAAACTATTCTATTAACTTCTTTGATGACAGTGACGTCCAATTCGGACTCTTTTCATGTGCTTGGTATGTATAGATCTCATGATGTGCCCATATCACATGACTTTCAATCTGATGACAAATCTTGGAATGTTTGTATAAGATATATGCACACTTAAAGGAATGTACATACTGAATTCATGGAAATGATATCAATTAGGATACCTGAAACTATCGAATAGCCATTGAAATTTGTAACCAAAAGGTTACTATTTAATACTTATTATCTCATAGCACTTTTGATTTTAAAATCTTGTTTTGGATGTGAATATGAATAAAGACATTAGTACAGATTGCGGTATTGCCATTACCCATCCGCTCACGTCCTTACTTCCAAATCATATACAAAGTCTTGAAAAATTACAGGAAATGGAAGCCCAAATACGAAACTTAAATGTCGTACCGGTTCCAAAATATGAAAATCAACAACTTCAGCAACGCATTGCTAACAATGGGAACAATACAACTCTCGATCTGCGTAGTTCGAACTTAACTGATCAAGATATGGAAATTGTGGCCAGACAGTTAAAAACAAATACGGTAAGGGATCATTACTTCTTTTTGTCACGTAACATTCTTTAATACCACAGAAGCACAGTATTTTCAAAAGCAACCTTAATAAGCCTAGCAATCATCTTTCTTTTTTTTTTGAGAAAACATTTCTATATAAAACTATGGCTTTAATATCGAGTCGAAGAGAGTTCATAAAACAAATAGTTGCAACAACGTCTCAAAATTTCGCTATGTTAAGGTTATGAGATATACTTTGGATAGTTGAGATGCAACTCTCATAATGTTTTTAACTTTTAATATAGGTAGTAACCACACTATATTTGCATCAGAATCAAATCGGGGATAACGGAGCACAACATCTGGCGGATGCACTGAAAGTCAACACAGTAAGCTACTACTCTCGCTGAGCAATCTATTACAGATACCTTTTTATCATGAAAAATCACATACAATTGTTAATAATCACCATCTACATCGAGAAGACCTGCGAAAAGATTCGTTTCCGTTAGTTGTCAAGATTCTTTTTGTTTCTTCTACCTAAATTGTTGAGAGAAGTTTGTTATTTATTGATAAAAAATTAAAAGAAAAATAAATTTAAGTTTTTACCATCCATTTGAAGTTCACATTAAAATAGTTTGCGAGCATATATTAAGAATGTTAACAACATCGAGTTTATTTTCCAACAGTTGGTTTTGAGAATATTTTTTATTTGACGATTCGTATTCAGAATTTAAGAGAAAACAGCATATTTGATACTTGAGAAGTAAAAGGACGTACGAAAGTAAAATTTTTGTCTTGCAAGAATCTGTGTAGTGTTCTCTACTTCGTTTTGTACAACCTAAAAATATTAAATAATCTAACCGGAATGTATTTTGATCACAATATGCATCTGATGAAAATCAAATGAAGCAAAGTATGTTATTTGTGAGAAAGTGTAAGAACTATTGATTTATTTAAGGGTATAGTATTTAAATATGTTCGACTTTAATTACTTAGATACTATTAGTTGATACACGGATTTAAAACTCTATTTACAACACCCAGTCAGATATCAAAGTCTTTATCAGCATAAGATGTCATATATACAACTTAAAATTTTACTTTTTCATCAGTATAGTCGTCACATAAAATTCTCTCGTATATATTTAATTTCTTTTCTCTATCAAGAACCTGGTAGAGTAGAGTAAGTGTGAATATAAATATTGTTTTTAGTGTATCCTCATCTCTCATATATCTATATTCACAACATCAGATGTCGGAATAAGTCCAATCAAGATTCTATGATTGAATTTGAATAATATGTTGAGAGTTTTTTCGGTGTGTTTCAAGCACCAAGAATATTAATAAATGATTTCTTTTTCGCCCATTAAAAACTTAGTACGGCGATAATTGAAAATTTATACAGAGAATTATTTATGAGGTTATGCTTTTAAGTTAGAATCCGATTAAGAACCGATCAAATTGATTTTTCAAAAAGAAGGCGCTTCTGTTTTCCTATCCAATCCTATCGGTCTACAAGAAATTCGACGAGATAGAGTTAACTGTTCGCCTGAGCTACGTATAGCAAAATAACATAATGTAACAATTCGAATGTGACTGTTTAATTTGTAAAGGAAAGGATTATTTCTTGAGACTATCTTTGATCAGAACATCCATAATTAACTAGTGCGAAACAGCTTTTACATGACATTGCCATGAATTCATATCCTTTATTCTTATCAGTATGCACGAAGTTCCTGATTATTTTAATATTATTTTACTCTACTATATAGACACTGACGCAGCTGATCCTTTATGCTAATAAAATTGGAGATAGTGGAGCACAATATCTGGCAGAAGGACTAAAAGAGAATAAAGTGAGTAAAATTTTTTGACTACTTCTTTAAATGTAGATCTCCCTCGTGTCACCTACATTCAAATAAATGTGGAGATAATAGATACTCAAATCTGAACACACACTAAAAAGGTCTATCATAATAACTTGAGTGCGGGTGTATTGTAAAATTACATGTGACAGTTCTAATAAGATTATTGGATACTTTTGGGTTTATCTAACATATTTTGATCAGATGTGAGAAAAGAGATGTGTTGAGTTAGTTTAATCATAATTAACATGAAATATTTTTACTTCGGTAATAAGTGTTTATTGTAAATGTAAAAATCATTTCTTTACTCACGAATCATTAGAGAAACAGTCTTCTGTTAGGATGTGGGTGTGTAGTATGAAAGAAGAATGACTTATATTCCGACAAACACACCTACGAACACTCTATAGACTTTTGTCTAGAATCAACCATTAGCTTTCGAAGGATATTTTTTTTTCTAGTCAATTTCATCAATCTGGAGAACTTTCTAAGTTATAGAGTTAGCGCATTCAATCATCTTGAACAGTAGAATAGTATTGACACCTTCAACTTTAGAGTTAAAGTTATTAGTGAAGTGCTTTTTTCGAAATCACCAGCAGTTCAAGCGCAAATAACTTGCAGGCTGTATGAAGTCAAATTTTTCTCTCATATTTAAAATTAAAGAGATGATCGAATGACATAAATAGTGATACATCATAAGTTATTCCCTATTGGTAGTTGTCAGAAAGTACGAGGTGATAATCTAACAATCATCTTTACTTTTTACTATAAACACTAACTTTACTGCAATTGCAACAAAACCAAATTGGAGATGAAGGAGGACGACATTTGGGTGATGCGCTAAAAGTCAACCAAGTATGCTACGTCTTCAGATAGTTTCTGTAATAAAATGTTTAATTAGTCACAGAGTTTGACAAAGAATTACTCACAATCGATAATAAGATCCAAGTTCACCATAAGAAGAAGCTTTAAGCTAGACCTTCAAAGACTTAGTTAATTCCATATGAATAGCTTTAATGAGTACAATACTTGTTTAATAATAACCCAAAACAACCATAGTTTGAGTATTGAATAAATATTTTCTGGTTCGGAAGGCATATCTCACGGCTATACTTCATAGTTTGAATCAGATCGTATGATGTGTTGAGACAAACTTGATAAATTTGAAATTTAGAATTTTGTCAGATATAAGCGGTGCGTAATATTGAGAAATCGAACGATTTTATTCGATTTTCAATATCTGGTTTTGTGTCATAAAAGACTTTGAATAATAATGATATTGAACGCGTAATAAAAAGTAAACCACTAAGCTCTGAAAAATAAAAATGAAACTTTTTAGCACAAAATGATGAATCTAACATTTGTCTTTTTTTTAATAGCAATATTTTCCTAAAGGAAAAATTCTCAGAAAACAAGTTACACGTGAAATCATAAATTATTTGATTTTAGTACTGCTATTAGTTTTAATTTAAAATAAAATGATATGTACTATCTATATTTAGAATTGATACTTTTTCCCGATTTTTGTCTTAATTAATATCTAAAAGTTTGACTAACTTATGTGAAGAATATTTTTCGCTCAATGCAGTCTAATAGAATTTTAACAGTGACATCAAATTTTAGGTTCGATATTAAACGATGATACCTATATCCAAGTGTTTATTGTTAATAGCAGAATTCGTCTTCCACTCGCATATTCTGAAATATAAGCAGCGTTACAGGCTTATACTTAAACGAGAACGTGAACTTTTCCACTAAAAAAAGTAATAATATATATTTACCTAGGTTTCAGATGCGTGTCGTAGGAACATAAATGATGTCAGTGATCAAATTTTTACATTTTATTTTATTGAATGATCTTTATTCACTGTTTATTGTCTCAATCAAATACTTCTTTTGAGACAGTATGCAACTAGAGAATGTCATAATTAGCTACTATTAAAGAACATGTTAGATTATGAGTGCAAAAATTAGTGTCTTTCACTTTTTATTATGCTTAAAGTTGCTAACCACTCGGAACTTCTTTAATTTTATAATCTAGATACTTAATGACCTACGACTTCAGAATAATCAGATTGGAGATAATGGAGCACAGCATCTAGCAGATGGGTTAAAAGTTAATAAAGTAGGCAATTTTTCTAGCTAATTTTATAACCGCAAGTCTCCAGTCAGTGATAAACATTCGCATAAAACTATTGATAATCAACAGTCAAATTTCATCACATATTAGGAATACTCGTGAGAATACCTTACTAAGATTCTATTTTATTTATGTTTAAGAATTCGATCGAACGTGCTATTTGTTTGATGAGGACTCATACAGGAGAGATTTCAAGAATTTCTGCTGAAATATTTATATATTCTGTTAAATCTATTTTGAAATCGTAGTTTGAATTTAATAATCGAATAAATTTAAGTCAATACGACGGTTTTTTACCTAGATTTCTATTGAATACGAGCAACTCGCTGTCTGGAATTTGTGAAAGATCATATATGAGATGTATTAACCAGTTTCGTGTCACGAAAGACTTACTTTATGATAGTATGAATTTTCTCGTAAGATTATAAATTAGTTTATTTATTTAAAAAAGTAAGAAGCGAAGCCTTTTCTATATATATTTCGCTCTTGGTATGCAAACAGTGGAAGTCTGATGAAGCAAAGCACACGCAATCATAAGTTACAGGTCACCAAATGTTAATCTCATTTAAAAAGTATTTGAATACGTGTGTGAATTAAATCTTTCAGAATTCTGACCAGAGTCGATCACACTACCTTTCCAAGAAAATTGTTTCCGTTTCTAGTTAATCTAATCAAACTATAGATACTACTCGAATATAGAGTTAGCGCATTCAGTTAACTTGTACAGTAGAATAGAACATAGTATCTCTAATTTTAGAGTTAATTTTATCAGTAGACTGTTTCTTACGAAATCACCAACAGTTCAAGCGCGGATAAATCGAAGACTTTATGAAGTCAAATTCTACTATGATATTTAAGATTAATGAGACGACTGAGCAACATAAATAGTGATACATTGTGCGTTATCCCCTATCAATAGTCGTTGGAAAGTATGACATGATAATTCCAATAATAATTTTGACTTTTTAATATAGACGCTACAACAACTGTACTTGTATCAGAATCAAATCGGAGATGAAGGAGCACGGCATTTGGGTGATGCGCTAAAAGTCAACCAAGTAAGCTACGTCGTCAGATAATCTCTGTTGTAAAAAATTTTAATTAGTCACAGAATCTCACATTCGATAGTTGTTAATGAATAGTTAAATATCAGTCTAACATAGAGAGATTCTTAGGTTGAAGTTTTAGGCATCACATAGTCGCGGTTAAATAGATGTAATGAATGTACTACTTGTTCAAATAAATTGTAGAAGAGGCAGAGTTGAAATAAAAAAAATATATTTTCTACTTCAGTTAAGAATATTTTAGGAACATATTTTTGAGACTGCATATGATTATCTGATAATTCGGAACCAACTTGACAAATTTCATCTTTAATTCTTGTTAAATGTAAGCAACGTGACATATCTAAACAAAGAATATCATTTTTCAATTTATTATAACTGGTCTCGCGTTACATAGTTTTTATATCATTATCAAATTTTAACTAAAGCTAAAACATAAATCTGTCAATTCCAACCAATAGAATTAACGCTATTGGCTCGAAATTAACAGATGAAGATTTCTCATTTGTTTTTATATCAATATTTTGCAAAAGAAAAAACTTTTCATAAAATAAATTAGGTATTAAGTAGCAACTCATACAACTTAACACTGTAATAAATCTCAACTAAAAATTGTAAAATAGTTTTCAATCCGTATATTAAGAAATGACAATTTTTTCTAGTTATTCACATGAATATCTCGAGTAGAAGAATTTTTAGTAATAAATATTTTTTGCACAGTCTGGCTTAATATAATAACAATACTTCAGATTCAAATTCAGAAAGTACATTTTCTGTTTGTACGTTAAACGATGAAGACTTATTCAAGTTTCTAATGCTAATATGAGTGAAAAAATATATTTCCAAAGGTAAAACTTACTGTCAATTCATATATGATGGAACTGAAACACAACTATGAAGTTTTGATTGGCACTTAAAACTAAACCTTGCAACTCAACTAGAAATGAGCAGTCTTTCAGAGTCTACGTGCGAGTAACTTATAAACAGACATAATTTCGGTGATGAGATTGACTGCTATGCCTTATTTCATTGAATTGTATTACTTCTGAAAAGATTATTTCCTAACCACAAAAAAATTGTGATTTAGGAAGTTCAAAACGACGAGTTTTTTCCCGACATTTGACGTTGATAATTCATGTAGCTACAAGAAGTTTTTTCTACCAAGGCAGTTTCAGTTTATTCGTAAAGATTGATATGTTGTGATATCAGTGTTTCCGAGCGTGAAATATTGTGCTAACATAAAAACCGTAAACGAAGTAGCTATAACTGCTTAGATAACAGATGTATATATAGCCGAAATTGCACTATTAAATTTGAATGGCATATTCAGAATTTTCCTTTTTAGTTCAAGCACTAAGAAAGTTATTTAATTATCCTCTTTTTGTTTATTTTAAAGTTATTTTGATATTAACCGAAAATCTGCATAAAGAGTTGCTTATGATGTTACGATCTTGAGTTAGGATTTTGTGAAGAGCTAGTCAGGCTCATTTGTCAAGGAAACTACTTCTTTTTTATCCACCAAGTCTCCTCAGCCTTCAAAAAATTGTAAGAGGTGAAGTTAACTGATATGTCCGAACTAGACGCAGTAAAATATCATAGTCTGATGAGTCGAATTTAAGTGTATAATTGATAAGCAAAACAATACTTTCTAGACCATCTTCGATCAGAGAGCTCACGAATTTTTATTAATTTTATAATATAGGGGCTCAAGAACCTACAACTTCACTTAAATAAAATCGGAGATAATGGAGCACAACATATCGCAAACGGGCTAAAAGAAAATAGAGTAAGTTAGTTTAGTAATTACGCATTTTTACTGTATCACATACATTTGAGGGTGTGGGTGTTGGTGTAGCTGTGGATGTCTACCTTTTCTATTCACGCCCCACACCCACACCCAAATGCGAAAAAATAAAAGAAACGAGAGCTTTTGTGAATACATTCGGTTATATTATATTGACATAGGAGAAATTAGATGAAGACAAGTGCATGCCGTCATAAATCTATAGGCTATCAACTGTTAACCTCATTATGAAACGTATTTGAATACGTGTATGAATCAGATGATTCAAAATTTTGAGAAGAATTTGAAGCTGTATTTATATTATTAAATCATATTTTCTAATCCTATGCAACGTTAAAGTATCATATACATTATTCGCAAACCTATTCTTTAATGAATTAGATTCCTATTTCAGTTAGCATTATTATAGCATAAAATATTCAAGTATCATAAAATTCTTTTGTTTATTAAGAATTTAGTAGAAATTATAAGCGGAAAGATTGAAAATTTCCTGGTATCTCTGATTTTAATTGTCTCTAAATATATTCTTTTATTCAAATTTCAATGTATCCGTAAAAACACCGAAGTATTGCAATGTAGATACTAATCATAGTTTAATGTTATATTAAAAGAAATGTTCAATAAATCATATGTAAATATCTGCACTATATAGAAATACTTGTTTCTATAAGCAAGTTTATGTTATTAGCGTTCTATTGAATGTTGACAATCATGTAATTCATTTCGAGCATCTAGGAACTTAATAAGTCTCATGTATTCAGTTTATCTAATATTTGTTTGGATTTTAGAGTGAAAATGTTTAGAAACAATATTAGGATATCGATATAGAATTTTGCCAAGAATCGACCACACTAGTTTTTGAAGGAAATGGTTTTTTTGTCTATCTAATCTCATCAATCTGGAGAGCTTTCTAACGTATAGAACTAGCATGTCTAACTTTAGAATTAGTGTTATTAGTGAAGTATTTCCTTCGAAATAACCAGCAGTTCAAGGACAAACAGATTGACGACTGTATGAAGTCAAATTCTTCTCTTATGTCTAGTATCAAAGAGATGATCGAGTGGCATACATAGAGATACATTGTGTGTTATTTTATATTGATAGTCGTTAGAAAGTACGAGGTAATAATCGTAATAATCATTTTGACTCTTCTATAGACACTAACCTTACTGCAATTGCAACAGAATCAAATTGGAGATGAAGGAGCACGACATTTGGGTGATGCGTTAAAAGTCAACCAAGTAAGCTACTTTTCTCTCTGATATCTCTTATGTAAATGAGCTACTACAAAAGTGTTTTTCATCAGTCACTGATTCAGATATTCAGATACTGATTCTAGCGTTGTTTTATTCAGTATCCCTCTAAACAACAGTACAATCGCGCAGTCCATTAAAAATAAATTATTGAAGTAGTTGTTGAGATATTTTTTTCTGTGATCATTAGTAGTCTCTTTAAGTACATGTTGCATTCATTGTTACCTTTAGATGCAATTTTATATAGATGAAAAGTTAAGTGAGTTTACATTTTTTGACGCTGTTCAAAATTCTATCATTTCCGAAACTTGAAGGTGTAGTTTTCATCTGCACTTCAACCACACACTCGCACGTTCAAGATAGCATTCAATGGCGTTTTGTTGTTATTATCTTTTCCCGTGTATTGATTTATTTGTAACCACATATATTTATTATTAGTCGAATTAGGAGAATTAAGAGATATAATTTTAATTAATTTCTGACCTTTGATTTTATATTCACTTTCTCAAATAGATTCTTACTCAACTGTATCTTGGTACGAATCAGATCAGTGATAATGGGGCACAATATTTTGCAGATGCCCTAAAAACTAACAAAGTAAGCGAATTTTTCAGCTGTTGTATCTATTATACTTAGGACATATAAAAATATTGAGATTTGCAAGGAAAAAAAGTACAGAAACAAATAAATTAAGGTTTTATTATAGCAATCTTGCATTTCGTTTAGTTTAGTTTTCTACTGTTTATGTATCGTAATAACTAAAGGATGTTTCATAAGTGTATTCTTTTTCTTATTTTTTTTGTATTTTAATCGTACTAAAAGATAGACGGATATTGAATACATACATTTAAGAAGTAAGACTTAAACTATCACTCAAGAAAAAATCTGACCCAATTCAGAATAATCTAGAAAAAATATTTCATTAGCAATAATGTTGATCTCTAATACTATTTCAGGACAACTTTGATGCCGAAAAAAATGAAGGCAAACTGTTCTTTATTTAATTTATAGCGATCGTTAGAGTATAATATATTAGATGTACACTCAATGAGCATATCATTCGAAAAGTTAAGGGACAGTCAAAAAATCTGAAAAAAATACTCTCGTATACGAATTCCATTGCAATTTCAGTTATTTTCGTGTTTTTTTCAACTGTGTATTTTGTCTTTTACTAATTCCAAGCTAGTTTTAATTAGTTTGTCAGTTTCATTAAAATCTTTACTTTTATACATAGATACTCACTCAGCTGGCTCTTAATGAGAATAAAATCACGGACAATGGGGCGCAACAACTAGCCGATGCTCTTAAAGTCAATAAAGTAAACTATTTTTCTAGTTAACGTATCTATTACAGATACTTAATTTCTGATAAAAATTCACACCAAGTTATTGATAACCAATAGTCAAGTCCAGATTTATCTTTAAAAGGTTTCTGAGATCAAGTTGTCAAGATATCGTGTTGTCACAACTGAATACTTGGCAACAGTACTCTACTTGTTCAAATAGAATCTAAGAGAACAAGTTAAAGTTTCTCGCCAACTATTTTCAAGTTCGGTTGAGAGTATTTTTAGAATAAGATTTTAGACTTTGAATAACATCGCAAAGTAAATTTAATTGAACGTAATACCTTTTGATCGTAAATTTGTATAAACTGAATGTAACATGAAATATTCATATACGATATACTATTTCGTACGAACCGATTAATTCAAATCTGGAACATTTCGTAAGCATAGGTCTTCATCTACAAAATAAGAATACCTCTTTTGAAAGAAATATATTTTTGAAAAGTATTTTTGATTCAAAGAACTGCTCGCATTTATATATGAATGATCATGTAATGTGACATCAATAAATAGTCTTAAATATACTTATGATAATTACGCATCTTTTTTAGATAGTAAATTATATATATTTCTATCGCGGAGCTTGTGTGCAAGTTGCATATATTCTACTTATTTTACATGTTGTCAGGTTTTAGGCAGAAATAATGAGAATAGGTAAGAGCCAGGTTAAGATTTTAAGTAGAACTATCAATAGTGAGTCATGACGATTCTGCAAAAAAAAATGCTTTTATTTATAGTCTATCACATCAATCGATAAAAATTTCTAGGACATAGAATTATTCTGAAATAACGAGTATAGTTTTTAGGAATTGTTTCAATTTCGCGGTTCATTTTATTAGAAAAATATTTTATTCCAAGACCATCGTTGATCAAAAAATTCTCTGCTAATTAGTAACAGAACGTTCTTCTTGAGTATAATATTTAAAATCGTTGCTTCTCATCTAATGCAAACTAAATTATCTCGTACTGGCAGTCGACTCTGCCTTATTGCATAGCTAAAGACGACGAACAGCACTGAAACATAGTTCTTATAATCTTTTTAATATAGGCATTAACCCATTTGCATTTATATCAAAATCAAATCGGGGATAATGGAGCACAGCATCTAGCAGATGGATTAAAAGTCAATAAAGTAAGCTGCTTTTAGAAACTTAAATCTTCACTCTATCTTATGTACTTCTATAAAATTTTTCAAAATCAAAACTTGAATCTGAGACTATCGTAGAAACATTCTTAAGGCTATTTATGAAGACGATCAGATCACCAAAATTGAGGAGCCGATCCGAGTGTGCAACTTAATGATAAATGATCTATAATATTCAAAGCAACTATTCGAGGTGAATGTATTTAAAGTTCAACTGCAGATTGGGAATCATATTTGTTTTTGATTATGAATTCTTTTAAATATGAGTAATGCGCTATAAGAGATAATAAAGAATCATATCCGAAATATATTGTTTCGTCTTGTGACACAACATATTTGAATAATTAGGAATACTGGTTCAAAACAATAAAGAAAAAGTTAATTAGAAATGTGAAAAATAAGATATTTCTGGTCAAACACAATAGGCTCACATCTCTTGATTAATGCTCTGTTGGCTTCTGATATAAGCATATCCATAAACGAGGTTATTTGAGAGAAAACAATTTCCAACGTAATCTTTTTGAAGGATTCCTACTTGTATTATGATTTTTCATAACATATAACGGTTATTAATTGTTATTCTTATTAAAAGGAGTATTAAGAATGTGTTTGAACGACATAAGTTAAGCATAATTCATTCAAATAAATATTTCAAGCTGTAATTGTATCATTTATTCAGTTATTCAGTACTTTATAAACATTGAAAATTAGCGATTCAATCCTGAATATTATATTTTAAAAAAATATAATTACAAGATAAAACCCTGTAGTGTTTTTGTCCTTTTTGTATTGTACATAATCTTGAGGAATATTTTTCTTTAAAAAAATCATAATTCATTTTTAATCAAAACTGAAGCGTTAAATTATTGATACTAGGTTCGTACAATATATCATGAACAAGATAATAGTAAGTAAAATTATATGTAATATTAATCTTGATCAACTAGTACATTTTTCGTTATTCAATTGCATGTTAACAATTTCCATTTGAATATTAGCAACTGTTTGAGTTATTTTAAACATTGAGAGAGATAATAAGGATTAAGTTTTATAGTGAAATGTTATTAACCATCGTATCTCACGATTTGTTTTAATATTCGATCAGTTTCTCGTGGTTTCACCTATAGTCAGAAAAGTCACGGCCAATAAATGTTAGAGAGCATAATAATCGATTATGTTTTGCCTAAAGCCTTTTCAAAAAGTCTGTTAAGTTTCACTTCTCTTTAGAATATCAAAGAAGTAGTATAATACATATAGAGATAGCTTAAGCGTTGACACATATTGAATGATACTAGAGAATCTTAATATTCAGCTTTCAAAATACGATTTAACTTTTCATCATAGGCGCTCACGTACCTGAATCTTCACACTAATAAAATTGGAGATCATGGAGCTCAACAGTTAGCTGATGCACTGAAAACGAATAATGTAAGTTATTCTTTTAGCTAATAGATGTAGTGCATATATTCTCTTTGTTACAAAAACACCCATAATATTATTAATAATCAATAGTCATATGCGAGGCTATTATAGAAAGATTTTATTCTGTTACAGTTAAATAATTGACAAAAATATCTTATCTAAATAAATATGATGGGGAGGAAGCGAAGTTGAAATCTATCATCAACTATTTTCAAGTTCTATTGACAATATGCTCGAAATGATATTTTTCGACTAGATATTCCTATCGAAAATAATCCGCGCCTAATCTTCAGATATAACACTATTTCATACGAACTTTTCACACGCAGTCTCGCGCTATAAGATAGCTTGCCTTGCTGTTATGAGCTTTGGTTCAAGATTGAAAACTAAAAATTAGTTTTGCATGCGTAAGTTTCGAAGTGTGCATGTGTTTTGATATGAGTTGCCTTCCATTTAAACTCATCGAACTATATGCGTATCTACATCCTTTTTTTACGTTTTATTATAGACATTAACCCATCTATATTTACATCAAAATCAAATAGGGGATAATGGAGCCCAGTACTTAGCAGATGGACTAAAAATTAATAAAGTAAGCTGCTTTTCTAAGCATATATTTTCGCTCTGTCACATATACTAGAGTAAAATTGTTAGTAATCGATAGTCAAATCATAGCATACAGTAGAACGATTTTAGAAAATAACTTATCAAGATTTGATGTTTTCATCACTGAAGGTTTGTACAAAGGTACTAATTGTTAAAAGAGGATTTATAAAATCCCAGTTTCTGAGTCACTATCTTCACGTTCAGTTTGAAGTGTTTTGCGGATGTGAGTGTGGATGAAATCTCTTTAACTATTCGCACATCTACATCCTTGCCCTCAAAGAACTTGTACTGCGGTGAATTTCAACTGGAAATTAAGGAATATTTTGAATGCTGAAGTTAAAAAGTGGGAGTAATTTAAATTTTTTGTTGCAAATATTCCTCTAGTAAAAGTATTTCTAGTAAAAGTATTATTCAGAATTTTTAGAAATTGGTTGCAATAACTTTTCGAGCGAATTAATACCATTTTCTATTTGATTTCATAAATCTTGAGAGAATTCTAAAAACATCGAGATAGAATATCCATTCAAGTTTCACTAAGACATTCTAGTAAGATTTCGATTTCATTGTCTATTTTACAAGGACAATACTTCTTTCGAAGTCATTGACGGGCAAAGAACTTGTTGCTAACTAAAGCAAATGAGTGTCTTATAGTGTAATCAAAAATATAAATATGGGTTTATTCAAGTCGAAATTAAAAGTATTTATACAAAACAGAGAGAAAGATAGATGATAGTCACCCCTTTCCTTATCTTTATTGGCGCAGTAAGATATAATTAGAAAAGAAAGACGATGTTACATTCATTTTCTCCATTTGGTTATAATATAGTTTCAATTCAACCGAGGAATTGCTGATGAGCGAGAAAAAGAAAAGAAAGGAAACCTATCATGTCACACATATAATAGATATAGATAATGAGTATCTTATTTACTTACTTACTGAGAATATAACTGATGGTTACATGAATTCACACTGTCTGTCTAGTGGCTTAAAGTTGCTGCTCAGTTTTTAGCATAAAAGAAGTGCCCTAATACATAACAATAGAATGTATATTATTATCTATCGAGAAACGTTAGAAAGTGTTCGAATATAATTCTCATGGTCTTCTTTAACTCTCTATTATAGTCACTCAAGGAGTTGTACCTTAACAATAATCAAATTGGGGATAGTGGGGCAAGACATATTGCAGATGGACTAAAAGATAACAAAGTAAGCAACTTCTCTAGTTGATATCTTAAGTACAGATCTTCACGCTCTCCCATACACTAATACAAAATTGTTGATTATCAATACTAGAATCCTCCGAACGTGTAGTAGAAAAATTCATCAGAACGGCTTGTCAAGATTTCTTTTTGTCAACGTGATATAAATCGCAAGAGGGTACTACTTTTTCAAATATATCTTAAAGGAAGTAAAGCAGAAGTTGCTGACAGTTTTTGTCAAGCTGAGGTGAAAGTATTTTTAAACGATATTTTGAAAATTGATTAGAATCATATATGATATATAAAAGGAAACTTGACATTTTTCTACGACAGGCTTTAATCAAATGGCAAATAACACGCTGAATTGAAATAGTAAATGATCATGTATAACCTATACAATTCAGTCTCATGTCTCGAAAAGGCTATACTTTTAGGAAACTTCAACTTTAAGTTAAAGAAAAATAAATAATTTTAGACTGTAAACTTAAAAATGATAACTTTTCGAACATTCTATCATGAATATATCATCGATAGCAGACCTTTTAGTGATAGGATTTTTTTCTCATCTCTTGTCAAATGAAGTTCCAGTATTTTTGATAGGGCAGTTCGTTTCAAATTGAAAAGTATCAGTTTCGACTAAGAAATTAAAAATAATGAGTAGTCTTGATTTCGAGTAACAATAACTCGCGAGCATAGTAGGTGTGTCTATAGTCAAGTTTATAGTATTATTTTTGAACTGGACTATGGAATGAACAATTTATTCCTGACAATAAGAGAGCCAATAAGTCAGATGTTTTTGGTTATTGCGCATTGGATCATTTTTTTCTAATTTTACGCTTATAGGAATAATTCGGAAAGATACTAAGGTCTTGAAATTGAGTTCTATTAAGAATCAGTCCCATTCATTCTCAAGCTGATACAGTTTTTTCTGTTAAATCTAGTTAATATGAAGAAAATTCTAGAATATAAAGATAGTTTATAAAATCAAATCTCACAGGGAAATATTAATAAGACTTCCAATTATACTATTTAGTGTATCAACTAAATATTGCTTTCGAAACAATTTGTGATCAGAGAAGGTGTCAATAGTTCGAGTAAAAGAGCATATAGTCCAATAGTTGCAAGAGATTAAATTTTGTCTGTAATATATCTTAAGTTATTATTCAGTTTTCAATATTAAAGTAATAGCTGAATATATAGAAACATACTGCACATTATCACCCGTTGAAAAACCTTAGAAAGCGTCCGAATATATTCCTCATAGTCTTCTCTATTATAGACGTTGACGCGACTGGACATTTATAATAACCAAATAGGAGATAATGGGGCACAAAATCTGGCCGATGCGTTAAAAGTGAATAAAGTAAGCAACCTCTCTAGTAGCTTTTCTAAGTATAAATCTCCACTCTCGTATGCATACTCTCATAAAGTTTTTCATAATCTGCAATCAAATCTTTCGAATATGTAACTGAAAGATCTGTGATGACAATTTGCCATGATTTTATTTTTTCAGCATTGTAGATATTGTACGAGTGTATTATATGTTTCGAGTAAATCCATAGGATAGAAATATTTAAGTACCCAGCGAATTATTTTCAAGTTCAGATGTTTATGTTTTGAAATAATAATTAATATTTTCATTAAGACTAGAGTAGATTTGATATTCTATCATTTTTAATGAAAGTCGTTGTCACATATCACTTATCAGAAAAATATTGATAACATCTACTCTACTAACATTATTTCACATATTAGAATACTTTTGCGCAAAATTG